CCGCCCCCCACCAGGGAGGATGGCCACGCTGCAATCCCTTCTCCTCCATTCTCCTCTCAGGATCTTGGGCACGCACACACACACACACGCCTGATGTGAGTTTAAATCACCAGGTCCGGGACTCGAACCATGGTCAACTACATGGGAGTCCAGTGATGCAGCCATTATCTGCTGGTCCCGTGGCATTACCATCTTTACAAAAACACAAAATTATAAGAACACAAACTTTAGTAATGTCACAGGTGGAAAGGGGCTCATTAACAAATCCAATTGTTGCTTTAAAAATTACAAATAGGGGGAACCAACAGTTAGCATAATGGCTATGTCGCTGGACTCCCACGTAGTCGACCACGGTTCGCGTCCCGGATCCAGTGGCATAAAAATCACGCCGGGCGCGTGTGTGTGCATGCCCAAGATCCCAAGAGGAGAATGGAGAAGAAAGGATTGCGGCGTGGCTATACCCTCTGGGGGATGATTTCTCGCTTTCTGTCTCTATGTCTCTCTCTGTCTGTCTGGCGAGTGCACATGCCCTATAGCAAAAACCTCTCCCCCCCAAAAAAAAAATTAAATAAATAAAAAATTACAAACAGGAATAAAGGTCAAAAGATTAGATAGTCACAGATATAAACCACTATGTAAACCAAATATGACAATTAGACAGATACACTCACTTTTTAGTAAAAAACACCATTATCTATTTGATCAAGAAGAAACTGAAGTTAAGTTTAAAATCCTGTAAAATGATTAAGACAAACTCCAAACTTAGCTATATACCAGAACAAAGCCCAGCACTATTTCAAGGAATAAGACAAAATCTAAGATCCAACAACATAAAAGTGATAAAACAAATATCCAATTAAAAATTACCAGGCATGTAAGGAAGCAGGAAAATATGACCCATAACTAGGAAAAATTTTTTCTCCATAGCAAAAGAATAAAAAAGTGAGATAATGGAACTAGAAGAAAAAGATATTGAAAAAGCTATTAAAAATGAACCCTATATGTTCAAGAAGGCAAAAGAAAATTTTAATAGCAACTATTCTTAGATGATACGTGGAACTGAAAAATACCTATAATGAGTAATTCATTGATGGGATTTGTAAACTTAGACACTAAAAAAAAGAAATATATAACAGAAAAAAATAGCAATGAAAACTAACTAAAATAAACACACAAATGAATAGTACACCAAGTGACCTAAAAGACAATATAAAGAGGTCCATTATATACATAATTAAAGACTCGAAGAACAGAAGAGGAAGAAAGAGGTTAAAAGAAGAGAAGAGTTACAAGGAATAATGGCCAATTTTTTCCTAATTTTGACAAAAATCACACCTCAATAGGTCCAAGAGGCTCATAAACTCTAAAATAAGAGTAATAGGAGACCTCTTGTTAGAAATTGGTAATAGCCAAGAAAAGGTGGGAGAGGTGTCTTTAAAATATTGGAGGACAAAAGGAAGAAAAAAAATGATGGGGGCCAATAGGTGGCATGGTGATTAAGCCGCTGGATCCCACATGGGTGACTTCACAGTTCAAGTCCTGGACCTTGGTGGCTTGAAAATGCACTGTGTGCATGTATGTGCACTGGAAATCCAAAGAGGAGAATAGAGGAAAAGGAATTGCAGGATGGTCATGCCCCCAAGGGGTGATTTCTCACTTTTCCTTTTTTTCTCTCTCTCAGGAATGCACATGTCCTATAGCAAAAACCTAAAAAATTAATTTAAAAAAAAAGGACACTAGCAAATAGAATACTATACCAGAAAAAACAGCTTTCAAAAACAAAGGAAAAATAAAGGCTTTCAGATATACAATAGCTAGAAGAATTCATTATAAGCATGCCTGTACTACAATATATATTAAAGGAAGTTCTTCAAGCAAAGAAAAAGATTTAGATCTACAGGGACCAGCAGTTGGTGTAATGGGTATGTCACTGGACTCCCATGTAGTCAACCATGGTAAGAGTCTCAGACCCAGGGGCTTAAACTCATGCTGGGCGTGTGTGCATGCATGCCCAAGATCCCCAGAGGAGAATGGAGGAGAAGGAGCTGCAGCGTGGCTGTCCCCCCTGGGGGGGTGGTGATTTCTCACTTTCTGTCTCTCTGTCTCTCTCTGTCTTTCTGGCAAATGCACAAGCCCTATAGCAAAAACCTCTCAAAAAAATTAAAAAAAGAAATTCAGATTTACACAAAGAATGAGAAGTATAAGAAGTAATAAATATAAAAGACTTCTTTGTCATTATTAAATTTCTTTAAAAGATAATAAAAAGAATGATGATATTTGATCGAAATGCACAGGAATCAACCCAAGAGTTATTAACAACCCAACCTAAACAAGTTGAGCAATAAAATGAAGAACATTATTATTATTATTTATTTAAAGAGTTATTTTAACTTTTTTTATTTTTTATTATTATCATCATTATTATTTTCCAGTCTGATCAGAGAGAGACAGAGAGAGAGAGAGACAGAGAGAGAGAGAGAGAGGAAGTGAGATAGCAAGCCACCAGGTCTGAGACTTGAACCGCAGTCAGCCATGTGGGAGTCCAGCGCCTTTAACCACCATGCCACTTATTATTAGATTATAATCCACAGAATGGATAAAATAGGTCCAGATGATATAATTAAGTAAATAAACCAGAAGGAACAGCTCTTCCTTATAGAAGAATTCCACTTAATAAATGGAAAAGAGTAGAAATGAGTAAAATATTTTTACAGAACACTATTAGAATGTAGTAATAATAATTGTTGCAGAGAAGAACCACCAATAGATGCTAAAATTAGTGAGCAAAAAATTAAGAAGAAATAAGATATTTATACAATCTAAAACTAGCACCTCCCAAGATAATTACTGATTAAAAAGAAAAAAAAATTGGGGCCGGCAGATGGTGTACTAGTTAAGGTGTTGGGACTACCATATGGCTGACCACAGCTCGAGTCCCAGATCAGGCACCTTGAAAATCACACCTGGTGCATGTGTGAGTATGTCTAAAATCCTAAGAGAAGAATGGAGGAGAAGGGACTGCAATGTGGCTATCCCCTTGGGGAGTGATTCCTCACTTTCCCTTTTTCTGTCTCTCTCCAGAGAGCACACACGCCCTATGGCAAAAACCTAAAAACAAACAAACGAAAATAAATTTTTTTTTTCTTTTTGTTAGAGGTTTTTGCTATAGGGCATGTGCGCTCCCCAGAAAGACAGAGAAACAGAAAGCGAGACATCACCCCCCT